GTATATCGGGTTTGTTTGTTGTGTTTTGTCCCCGAGCCTTCTGACGTCCTTGCCCCTCTGCCTGTGTGTCTTGCAGGAGGGAGCTCTCCTACTTTGGGGTGAAGGTGGCTGTGATTGAGCCTGGTTTCTTCAACACTGGAATAACCAACTCTGAGAAGATTTCTAGGGCCATCCAGGAAGCATGGGATCAGGCCAGCCCAGAGGTCAAGGAGATCTATGGGGAGAAGTTCCTGGCATCTGGTGAGTGAGCTGTGGACTGGGGGGAAGGGAGACAAACCCTTGTGGGGCAGCCTGAGCCCATCCCAGCTCCTCCTACAGACTGGGTCAGGCCTCCAGGCTCTGACTCAGCCCACACAGTGGGGACATTTAACTCCATCCCCATGGTCCCGTGTGGCCACCTGCTGACCTCAGGAAGAGCCAGGCTTGTTAGACATAGGGGCCACGCTTTCCTCTAATGCCCTCATTATTTGGGGAGGAAACTGAAGCCAGAGAGGGAAGACATGCATGGATTCCGGACAAGCTGGCATTAGCCAGCTGGTTTTCAGGTGCTTACATTTCTAGTGTTTGTAGAGACCTCAGTTTCTGCGGAGCACATATTCCCAGGAATAGAGCCAGAGGGGGCGTAGTGTGGAGAGTGTTCCTGTGGGAAGGAGTCGGGACACACTCTGATGAAATCCATGGATTCAACCTGGAGATGAGTGGGGAGAGGTGGGGTGCTTTTAGAAACTTCTCTCAAGTTGATCCCAAAGCAAGATTAAAAGGTGACGATATGTTGTTCCCTTTGGACAGTCAAGAAATCAGCGAAAAAGTTGAAGTCAACATGTTGCAACAATCTGTACTTGGTGACAAACTGCGTGGAACATGCCCTAACAGCCTGCCACCCCCGCACTCGATATTCATCTGGCTGGGATGCCAAGCTCCTCTACCTCCCCATGAGTTACATGCCTACCTTACTGGTGGATGCCATGATCTACTGGATGTCTCAAAGACCCATCAAGGCTCTGTAACCCCAGACTGGGGTGCATGGTAGGAGGGAGCTGGGTACTGTGTGAGGGTGGGAATCCCTCAGGGGGAGGGAAATACAGTGGAGGGGGGGGTTCTTGTGTCACCAGGGGCACCCATCTCAACTTCCTCCTCCCCTCCTCCCCAGACTTCCCTGGGCATTAGCACTCTAGGAATATTAGGAGGAAAGTCACAAGTTTTGTGATTGAGGAACAGGGACCCAATAGCACACAACCATACCCTGTTCCTTGAATGACCTTTCAAGGCTTGGAGTCTTTTGGCCCTCCTGCCACTTGAGGAATCCATTCTTGGCAGTGTGTTAGCAGCAGGGAGGGGCTCAGCCCCCACCTGCTCTGCTTCTGTCCCCGTACTCAAGGTGTGCCTTGCTTCTGTTCAGTGTCCCCCTCCTACAGGATGGACATGGCCTGGGGGAGTTAATGCCCCTTTCCACTGAAGATACCTCTGACAGGGATGGAGATGTGGATGGCAACCACCAGCCTGACCTATCAACCTGAGGTGCCAATTCACAGACCCTGGCTGAAAGGACATGTCTGTAATTGGAATCATGACAGAGGATACGGAAACAAACCAGTTGTTGAGTTGTCTTGAAACCTTGATGTCCATTGATTATTTTTGCCTTAAAATAAAAATTGATAAGTTTACCTAGATCCAGTGATTGGAACTGTGGCCTTGGGGAGTGGTGGGATATGAATCCATAAGAGAAGGAGTCAGGTGCCTTCATGGAGATCATGGGGGTGGGATTTTAAGAGGGGAGTTGGATCACTCTTCTTTCCAAAGAAGTGGGGTGGGAGGCTAATGTTTCTTTTCCAGGATTTTTCAAGTAACACGGTGTCACAGGAAGACCCAAGGATGGATAGACAAAGAGAATTGCTGAGGCATTGGCAGACTCCAGTCCCTTTCCTGGGGACATCAGCCTCTCCCCTCAACAGTAACCTCTCCGCAGCCCTCTTTGTCCCCTCTTTTAGAGTTATGCCCCCCATCTGCAGCCATCCCCAGGTTCCCCAGCCCAGATCCCCTTTCTCACATCCTATGGTGGAGGACAGTAAGAGTCACTTCTGGACCCCAGTCTGTTGTTTTCTGCTAACCTTTGTTGAGCACCTACTATATACTAGGAAGAGGTTCCCTTAATTACCCAGCATTTCCCAAGACCACAACTCTCTACATCTCCACTGTTCTGATGATGTTCTGAGTATGAACTGAACAGAGAACACATTGTACAAAGTGATGTAGATTCCTGGGCTAAGGACAAATTGGTGCTGGGAGCTGCCTCATCAGGTGCCTTAATTTTCTTCCCTCAGTTTCAAACTGAGGCTATGGAGACCTTAGGGGGACCTGATACTGTAGAATATCAGTGTTCTTGGTGAAAACAGAAAGCGAGGTCAGATGTGGCAGTGTCATTCATTCTCACCCTGTAGTAGGGGCTGGGGATGGCCTGGAGGAGCTGAAGGCCCCTCTCTGCTGAGGATACTAGTGAACAGACATGTGGGTGGAATTCAACCACCAGCCTGACCTGTCGGCCTCAGGTGCCCACACAGCAGGGAGACCTGTCATCTGAGAGTGGGGCATTTCTAGCCCTAGGGAAAGAACCCTTCTGTGTGGTCCTGCAGCCCTCCACTGTGTGACCTGCTTTTTTGGGTGTTGGGAGTTTGAACCTAGGAGAGCATTTCCTTGACCATCAGTCAGCAGAGAGGCCCATGCGATGGTGGGTCAGGCCCGGTCCTGTGTTGGAGCAGTTCCAAGTCATCCCTTTCTAAATCCATAGACAATCCCTGGATGTCACCTGTCTTCTCAAGGATTGGGATACCCCTGGGGCTCTTCAGCCCTTGAGTGACCTTGTCTGGCTTCCCCTAGCCAAAATTTCCCTGTCCACTTACCCAGAGGGCAGAGTTAGGAGGTGCCTCCCAGACTGAGTGTATGCGTTGTGCCTTGGGCCTGGAATGCCATAGTTGGGGTTTGCCTCCACTGCTTCCCACCTCTGTCCCACACGGGGTTTGGATTAGCACCTCAGGGGTGTGTCCTTGATCTTACCTCTCACTCCTACCACCCTTGTTATAGAATGACCAACCTCTCTGGTCTTTCTTGAGGTGACACCTGCTTTATTTGATTCTGGAGCTTACCAACCTTGGTAGATAGCACACAGCATAGAGATGCATCCTTGTCTCTTCACCCTAGGAAATTTGTGGCCCCATTTCTTTCAGACTCTTTGAACAGGGAAGGTGTGGGTGGCTGGCCGCCAGTCCCTCGGGATGAGTTGGTGACTAGGCTCATCTTGGGGAATGGTGACTCTAGAGGTTTATTCAAGAGCCACCATAGACCCCAACATCCTTCTGTCCCTGAATCTTAGGCTCCTCTGTCTCATCTCCTTATTTCTTCTTCTTTACCAGCTTCCCTCCTAACTTTTGTGAGTTCTTTGCCCCATTTCCTGGAATTTCTCCCTCCCCTCCAAGTCCTGACCTTGAGACTTTTCCAAATCTCTTATTCCAGTCTTCTTCTTGGAGCCAAGGAGTTGGCCCCAGGCCATTCCTGCAGCTGCCCAGGGAACTCATGACCTGCCCTTATCATCTGGCTGGACCTCATCTCAATGATGTTCATGTCAGAACTCTCTCGTCTCCTGCCTCTGAATTCTCTTGCCACTTGTGGTTCTACCCGTTATCAGCCCCAGTATATTAAAATCCCCCTGACTCCTGGTCTCCCCTACCTCTGTACATCCAATTAGCCACTGTGTCAGTTGACTTCATAATCCCTTCCTTCCACTATCCCCTCTGGGCTTCTCAGATTACTAGATCCCCTAGTGTGTGCTTAGCCCTCGAGGTAGAAAGAAATGCCCAAGGGGGCCCAGCCCTGGGGGAGCTGATGTGTCTTCTGCCATTAACTTTGTCCATTTGTCCGGTCACCAAGTGAGGGTGAGAGCTGGGTCTGCCTGGAATGCAGTGGGGGCTCCTCATTGGTGACCTGAGTATCACCTCCCAAGACCCAGGCCCGGAGCCCCTCCATCTTTCTGCTTTCAGAAACAGCCTCCCTGGCCATCCATAGAGACTCTTAAATACAGAGAACAAGTTGAGGGTTGCTGGAGGGCTGGGGGGGGGGGGGGGGGGGGGGGGGGGGGGGGGGATGGGCTAGATGGGTGATGGGCATTAAGGAGGGCATTTGTTGAGATGGGCACTGGGTGTTATATGTAAATGATGAATCATTGGGTTCTACTCTGGAAACCAATACTACACTGTCTGTTAACTAACTTGAATTAAAAAAAAAAAGAAATTAAAAAGAAAAAAACAGCCTTCCTGCAGAAGGGTTCTGCTGCCTCTGGCCTCAGTGGAGTCACATCCACCCTGGGGAAAACCTTTTGTTTTTCTTAATCTCTCATAATGGAGATTCACCTAAAGACAGAGAATTGCAAAGAGCCAGTAACTTGAAACTCATTTCTTCTGGGACTTGGGGGGCACAAAGCCAATTCTGTTTGTTTTACATTAATGAATTTGTCTTAATTTTTTTGCCTGAAAATAAAAATTAAGTTTATTTACATGTCTGAACTCATGACAAATGATTTTGATCCCTGGGCCAGAGGTGGGAGATTCCCAGGGATGCTCTCTGGGCTGAGTCCTCCTTTCTCACCTGGCCTGCTCAGACCACCCAGGTGAGCCACCTCTCAGCATCAGCATCACCAACGGGGTCTTTCCTATCCTTGCCAGCTTCACCTATCAGGGCTGGGGGAGAGCGAGAGGCAGCCACCAGTACTGTCTGAGGTCACAAGGCTTCAGGTTGGACTTGAATTTCTTGCATCTAGGCTAATTGGTATGGTGATGCATCCACCTATAGAAATTATAAAGTGGCTCATCCAGGAGCCCTGTGTCTGTTGCCAGTGGAAGAAAGCTCTTCTCAGTGGCTTTCAGCAGACTGCCAGCTGGGGCTCAGAAGACCAGCCTCTCCAGCTGTCTCCTGAGCCCAATACTTCTTGGCCACCAGCATCCTCTTGCCCTATGGCAGCTATCACGGATCTCTCCTTTATGTATCGATGGTTCAAGAACTGCAATCTGGTCCCCAACCTCTCAGACAAGTATGTCTTCATCACAGGCTGCGACTCGGGCTTCGGGAACCTGCTGGCCAGGCAGCTGGTTGATCGGGGCATGCGGGTGCTGGCTGCTTGCTTCACTGAGGAAGGGGCCCAGAAGCTTCAGCAGGATACCTCTTACCGACTGCAGACCACCCTATTGGATGTCACCAAGACTGAGAGTATAAAGGCAGCGGCCCAGTGGGTGAGGGACCAAGTGGGTGAGCAAGGTGGGGCAAATTGCATTCTTTGGCCTTCTTAGTTTATTCTTCTGTCTTTCTCTTCTAGGCATCTGACAGTGATCAGGGACAGTGTTGTTCAGATGTAGTAAGAGAGGTGATGTAGAGAAAGGGGCTGGGGCTTTGGCTCAGTGGGTTTGGAAACTGTTGCTTAGTTTGGTCTGTTCACACAAAAGGGGTGATTTCCCAAGGAAGTTTTTTTCTGCTAGAGACTCAGAGGGATGGGGGAAGGTTGCCAGAGGATGTGGGAGAGGGAAGACTTGTTCTGTATGTCCAAACCTCTAAAGATGGGAGTTGCCTCTCTGGGATTTAGGTAGTCCTAACCATCAGTTCCAACTGAAATGTGAGCACCTTTCTTACTGGGAGTGGGCTGGAGAGAGGGAAGAGGGGACAGGAGGTTGGACTCCCTGAGCAGGGACATTTGCTCTCCTTGATTGTGTCAAACTGGAAGGCAGGGGAGACAGAGATCTGTCCTCTTCCTTCACATCATGGTGGGTATTGGGTTGACCTCAAGGTAAGTGATGACATCAGAGTGACCGCTCCTATTGGGAAAGGAGGCCGTGGGCTGGCTGGGCTGGCCCAGGACTACATGCAAACCTGCCCGGGAAGCTTCCTGCATGCAGGGCATGGGCACAGGAGCAGGAGAAACAGGCTGGCTCTGTTGTGGAACAGCAGCCTGGAGGAAGTCCTGGCTTCTAAGGGAACTGGTCTGGGGGCCGGAGAGCCCTGGGGCCCAGGAGGGGCCAAACAGTAACTCTCTGCTTGATTTTTCTCCTTAGCATTTACCACTATCTAATATTCCATATATTTTACTTATTTTTCTTATTCATTGTTTGTTTCCCCTGCTAGAATAAAGGTTCCTAGGATGGGGCGGGGGGCAGGGCTTTTTGCCTCTTTTCTTTTATAGATCCTTAGTACAGAATAGTGTCTGGCATCTAGTACGGTGCTCAATAAATTTTTGTTGAATGAACTAATTAATGAATAATTCAGCGAGAGTCAGTCTCTTTTCTCAATAGGCTGCCTTGCCCTACATTTAGCTGTGAGCCACTTGTGTTAATGAGTCACTGGGTATATTAGTTTCCTGTTGCTGTTCTAACAAATTAACACAAAAATGTAGTGGCTTAAAACAACACAAATTTATTATCTTAAAGTTCTGGAGGTCAGAAGTCCAAAATGGGTCTCACTGAGCTAAAATCAAGGTATCAACAGAGCAGTGTTCATTCTGGAGGCTCTAGGAGAGGATTCATTTCATTGCCTCTCCCAGCTTCTAGAGGTTGCCTGCATTTCTTAGCTCATGACCCTCTTCCTCTATATATATATATTATATATATATAATATACAATTATTCCCTCATATTGAGGGAAGGCTGTCCTGGAAGATACAGTAGGGACATGGCTTGTGTGTGGACCCCAGGCATAGGAGGAGGGTGGACCAAGAGTGGTGTTTACATCCTGACAAGTTATTGGAAGAGAGTGCAGTTGTGCTGGGAGGAGTATCTTGGGGCTGCAGGAGTCAAGGTGGGCTGGGAGGATGAGGGGAGGGGAAGGGAAGGCAAGGCACCTGAGCAGTGGGGTTTTTGGAATCTTTGATACCAAAGGTGTCAAGGTGGAAGGTGTCCTTAGGAATCGTTTTAAGGACTTTTCCAATGTGTTTTTAGAATCAAACCTCCTCCTCCAAGTGGAATTTCACTTGGAAGGTTGACATGTAAAACAAATGGAAGTTGAGCCTCCCTTGCATCTCCTGAGCCAGTTCTGGGGTTCAGCCTGGAAGGGTCTCAGGATTGCAAACCCCAGGCTGGAAGCAACTGTCCTGGCCAGTCGATAAAGGACCTGAGGCCCAGAGACAGGAAGTGACTTGTCCAAGGCTAAAGGTAGAAATAGAACTGGAACTTAAGGATCTTCAGGTGTGGGTTCCTGCAGAGTTGAATGACAATACTTAGCATTATTTCTCTCCATTTGTACCAACTCAACTCAAATTAAATATTTGAAAGAGAGCCCTTATTACATTTTTTTCATGATTGTTTTATTTAAATGTGTTACACATTTATGAATATTATTTATTTCCTCTCTGGTTTGTGAGCTCCTTGAGGGACAATATCTATCTTGTTCATTTTACATCCCCAGCACCTTCCTCTGTAACTGACAGAGAATAGATATATGAGTAGATAAATGGATGAATGTGTGAATGGATGAACTCATTTTAATAATGTGTGAAATGGAGTCGGTTTCTTACACTTAGGTGGATAGAGAGGGGGAAGCATGATAAGGGCAAGACTTCAACCATTAATTCATTGGTATGAAAATTATCTCTCTCTTCCCAGAGCTAATAGCTTAGGTGCTATTAGCTAAAGCCTGGACTGTAGCTGGTACAGGGCCCCAGCTAGCACAGTGACAGTCTGTGTGAATCATAAAAAGTGCCCCTTTGGGGAAAACTAATTAGTAAAAGGCATATCTTCCTTTGGGCTGTCATAGCTCCCCATCACATGCCACCAGCCTGCCTTCTTGTGCCTTGTGCACCTGCTCGACCATCCTCAGAAGCCCTGGGCTGGTGGGTGGTGGACACTGATGATTTTCCAGAGATGCTAATGATTTCTGTGTGGTTCTCTCTCCCTCCATCACGCCCCCAGGCCTCTGGGCCCTGGTGAACAATGCAGGTGTAGGCCTGCCCAGTGGGCCCAATGAATGGCTGACGAAGGAGGACTTTGTGAAGGTGATCAATGTGAACCTGGTGGGACTGATCGAAGTGACCCTCCACATGCTGCCCATGGTCAAAAAAGCCCGGGGCAGGGTCATCAACATGTCCAGCTCTGGTGGTCGCGTGGCTATCATCGGTGGTGGCTACTGTGTCTCCAAGTTTGGCGTTGAGGCCTTCTCTGACAGCATCAGGTGACTGGGCCCTGGTGCCAAACCACTCTAGGTCGGAGTCCTGGGGATTTCACCTCAGGAAGAGAGAGCTGGGGAGGGCAGCATGTGGGCAAGGGAGTTCTGGAGGGAGGGAGCTAACACAGTAGCAGGAAGAGGGCTAGTCCTCAGGGAGCCTTCCCCAAGGACCAGGAGAAGGGATGAGGAGAACAGGTAGGGTGGTGATAGGAGGCTGTCTTCCTGTATTCCCTTCAGCTGTCTCAAAGTAAGTAAAACTATGTTTGGGCCTATGAGGGTAGAAAGGAGAGTATTTGATGCAGACAGAGAGGCCTGGAGGCAGATATGCTCATGGGAGACTCTCAAAGGAGGATTCAGGCCTTACCCAGACCCCCTCACTCCTTTGCCACGTGGGTGTTGAGTATGAGGCTGAGTGGGTGAACCTGGTAGGAGGCAGGGCTTTGGTCTAGATTTCTCTGTTGACTTCCTTCCTGCTGGGTTTGCTAATGCAAACTGCTTGGGCAAGGGCTGAGGCCCTGATTTGCATGAAGGCAATGCCTGGCCTGGCACAGGGGTGGAGGGAAGCACCTCCAGGTTTCCGGGGAAATAAGCCCCTGTAGAGATCAGAAGTGACTGTGCCTGATGATCCTTTGTCATCGTAGTGCCCCAGACTGAGTCCAACTCTTCTTTCCCAGGCGTGAGCTCCACTACTTTGGGGTGAAAGTCAGCATCATTGAGCCGGGGAACTATCGAACATCCATCCTGGGCAAGGAAGGCATGGTTTCCCGCATGCGAAAGCTGTGGGAGCGGTTGCCTCAGGAGACCCGGGACAGCTACGGAGAGGACTACTTCCACATCTGTGAGTTCTCTGGGAGGGAGACGAGTCTCTGAGAGGAACAGCGAGATCTTGGGGATCACTGACTCGTTTCATTTCACAGATAATGGGATGGAGGCTCAGAGGGGTTAAGGACCCAAAGTCACACAACTAGTGGCAGGCTGGGATTTGAGAATAGAAGCCAAGGGCACAACTGCTCAGAACAATAGCCTTTGCGGGGAGAGTGGTGGTAGAGGAGATGCTGCCCAGGGACATTCCCCACTCCTGGCACCTGCCTCCTGACATATTATTAGGCAGGTGCACAGGTGAAAATGTACTGACATGAGTACAGAGAAGTTAAGAGCACAGCTGCTTCACTATAGTAGTTTTCTCTCTAGGAAACACAAAGGGGGTTCATTGGAGTTGGAGGTGAGGGTACTTAAACCACACTGTCCCACCCTCATCAACTGCTCACCACATTCTTGCATGGAGAGGTGAATTCTCTGTCTCCCTAGACCATCCCCAAATTTGGACCAGCTATTTCTCCTTTTGTTTTCAAGTTTTAATCCCTTATTGGGATGCCTGACTCTCAGGCACCATTTCCTTCTGGAGTTCTTGGGGCTCTCGTTGAAGTATGAGTCCCAGTGACCTGCCCCCATCCCAGAGTCCTGGGGCAAAGTTGTACATCAGGGCCGGTAAGTGTACCATGAGGTTTGTCTATTTGTGTTGTGAGCCTTGGCAGACTTGGACCACTCAGATGCCTCACACCCATCTTCATACCCATGTACGCAATGCTAACAGAACAGCCCCTCACATTTGTTAGAGACTTACAATGTATCTGCCTGTGCCTTAGATCATTTGAGCCCCATAATGGCCTAATGACCAAGGCAAGGGCAGTGTTACAATTTTTTTTTAAGTACTCTCCACACCTAATGTGGAGTTTGAACTTACAACCCCAAGATCAAAAGTCGTGTGTTCCACCAGCTGTGCCAGCCAGTCATCCCAGCGTTACTATTTTTTAATAACATTTTCTTTCTTGCATGACTTTGTAGAAAATATGGTAACTCTGAGACCTGTGTAGGAGAAAAAACAAAACCAAACCAAACAAAACAAAACAGCCTCCAGTGACTAAGAATCCCACAAGCCAGAGAGTAATTTTACTTATTTTCTTCCAATTTTTCTCATGCACTTATATAGACTTGCTTTCTTTTCTGTTCTGCTTCACTGTCTACCCTGCTATTATTCATCTTTATTATTCTTTAGAGCAGGTATTATTACTCCCATTTTATAGATGATGGAAGTTTCAGCTCAAAGTCACACAATCAGTAAGTGGCAGAACTAGGCACAGTTCTTCTGATTGCTAGTAGGAATTCAACACACAGTTTTTGAATTCAGGAAGAGAAATAGGATTATTTACAGGGTGTTCATGTAAGGGACAACCTGGAGAGTGTGGTAGATCTGCCTGAAATGTTGGATCTGATGGAAAGGAAGCTTGGATAGAATTCAGAAGAAACCATCTTTTGTGAAGAGCAACAGAGCCTTTGATTTCTGCCCCCTCTTGTACCCTCAGATACTGAGAAGTTAAAAAACATGATGCAGTTGGCAGAGCCAAGGATCAGAGAAGTCACCGACAGCATGGAGCACGCCATTGTTTCCCGGAGCCCCCGTATCCGCTACAACCCTGGCCTGGATGCCAAACTCCTCTACGTGCCATTGGCTAAATTGCCCACTCCCGTGACAGATTTCATCCTGAGCCGGTACCTTCCCAGGCCAGCAGACAGTGTCTGAGCTGGGGAAGTCCAGGTGGTTAGTGGAGTGTGGAGGAGGGAGGGGTATGGCAGAAGGAACTGCAGGGTCACAAGAGGTGGTGTTAGGCAATCGGGGTTCACTTTGCTTGGCTGACACCCACTGCCAGGGAAATATTGGATAACTTCTAGCAGAAGACAAGTGCCTCTTCCCACTCACTGGGCCCCCACAGAAAGCTGCAGGTGCAAAGACCTGAAGCATGGCCCCAAGAACATCTGTCACCCATTAAGGATATGGCTTTTTCTGGACCTGGAAATGTCAAGGGGAGGAAAACAAGCTCCTGCGGAATCATGAGACTCTCTCAGTTATCACCACCACTGTGAAATATTGCAGGATAATCAAGCTCATGGAAGCATCTCAACCACTTTCCTATTGATCTCTCAATATGCATTAGCTTCATTCCCACAACCCATTATTTGAAGTATGTACTAGGGCAGACAGGGAGTGCAAGATTATATCAGGTAAAAGTTTATATTTTCTCTCTATATAAATTTATCTGTTCATTGGTGATTGGGATCCACATAAAATAACATTCATTTATTTAATCATCATTGGTTAATTTTTCAAATATTTATTGTATGCCTATAAGATACCAGGCACTATGTAGGTGCCGGAAGGATGTAGAGATGATTAAATCATGGTCTTGGTTTTTTATTGTTTGTTTTGTTGCTTTGTGTTTTAGCACAATATCTAGTAGCAGAGATGGGACAACCAGTGATAGAAGAAACAGAAACCAGAAAATTATTTTTTTTTTATAGAGAGTATGTGAGTGTGAATGGGGAAGAGGCAGAGAGAGAGAAAGAGAGAATCACAAGAAGCTCCATGCTCAGCACAGAGCCCAGTGCAGGGCTCTATCTCACTACCCTGGAATCATGACCTGAGCCAAAATCAAGAGTTGGATGCTCAACCCACCACCCAGGAGCCCCCAGAAAATCAAATTTTTAGAACTATGAGGAACCTGAGAGGTCATCTAATTCAGTAGTTCCCAAACTGTACATTGTAATCACCTGGTTAATTAAAAATACAGACTCCTGGCCTCAATGTTAGAAAATCTGATTTAGTAGCTTGGGATGGGGCCCAGAAATCTGTGTTTGTAACAAGGTAATGATTCCAGTCTTTGGCACTTGGGAACCACAGCCGGCTCCACAGCAGTATTGAACACTCAGAAGAAGTGACCTGCCCAAGGCCTCCCAGCATGGTGGCCAAGACAAAACTCAGGTGTTCAGATTCCCAAAGTAGAGTTATAGTTTTGAAGAATACATTTTGACATTAGTTACATTGTTAAGCCATGAAACTAAATTAAAAAAAAAAAACACCTTGAACTTCAAAGCATTTGTGCAGTTCTATTGAAAAGATTTCTTTGATCTTGAGGCAGGGTCATGTAATAAAGGTCAAATGTGAATTTTTAAAATTAAAATGTCTCTTTTAATTAATTATTTATTTTTTTAATGTTTATTTATTTTTGAGACAGAGACAGAGCACAGTCGGGGAGGGGCAGAGAAAGAGGGACACAGAATCTGAAGCAGGCTCCAGGCTCTGAGCTGTCAGCACAGAACCGGATGCAGGGCTCGAACTCACAAACGGTGAGATCATGGCCTGAGCCAGTCAGATGCTTAACCGACTGAGCCACCAAGCACCCCTAAAATTAAAATGTCTTTAATTTGTGCCTCTTCAACATCTGACTGAACTTGAAAATAACAAAATGAAAACTTAATTATCTCTGCAAAGACCCCTTTTCTAGGTGCCCCTTCCTGAAGTTTTAAATTGGCTTTTCTTTCCTTATTCACTTATTCAGCCTCTTAATCAAATTATCTTCACATGTTTTTGTTTTGTTTTGATATTTTTCTTTTTTTTATGTTTATTTATTTATTTTTGAGAGAGAGCACAAGCAGGGGAGGGACAGAGAGAGAGAGGGAGACAGAGAATCCCAAGCAGGTTTCATGCTGTCAGTGCAGAGCCTGATTCAGGGCTCAAACTCACCTCGAGATCTTGATCTGAGCCAAAATCAAGAGTTGGATGCTTAACCAACTGAGCCACCCAGGTGCCCCACGTTTTGATTGGATTTTAAGTAGGGAAGTAATGTGATCTGATTTAAATTTTGGAAGGGGGCTCTGTGGAGACTTAAATGAGGGGGCAGTGGTGGAAGAAACGGGACTATTGCATAATCCAAGCAAGAAACAATGGTACCATAGGTTAAAGTGGTAGTAGAGGGGATGATGAGAATGGATAAAATCAGTATATAATTTGGAGGCGGAATTACTGAAGGATTTTAATCAGTTATTCTGTCAAAAAGAATTTATCGTGTTCCTACTGTGTTCCAGGCATAGTTCTAGATGCTGGAGTTAGAGTGGTGGACGAGACCAAGTCCTTCCTCCAAGCAGTTTATATTTTGATGGGGTGGAGGAATTGGGCAATAGACACAAAAAAAAAAAAAAAATTAAAAAAAATGAATGAGAATTTTATATGGTAATAAATGCCATTAAGAAGAGAAAATGTAGTGGAGCTCCTGGGTGACTCAGTCGGTTAAGTGTCCAACTTTTGATTTCAGCTCAAGTCATGATCTCGAGGTTCATGAGTTCAAGTCCCACATCAGGCTCCACATTGGCAGTGTGGAGCCTGCTTGGGATTCTCTCTCTCTCTCTCTCTCTCTCTCTCTCCCTCCCCAGCTCATTCTCTCTCTCAAAGTAAATAAATAAAAGAAGAAGAAGAAGAAGAAGAAGAAGAAGAAGAAGAAGAAGGAGGAGGAGGAGAAGGGTCCCCTGGGTAGCTCAGTCTGTTGAGAGTCCAGCTTCGGCTCAGGTGATGATCTCAGGACTTGTGAGTTCGAGCCCTGTATTGGGCTCTCTGCTGTCAGTGTGGAGCCCACTTCAGATCTTCTGTCTCCCTCTCTCTCTGCCCTTCTCCTGTTAGTGCTGTCTCTCTCTCTCTCTCTCAAAAATAAATAAACATTAAAAAAAAAAGAAGAGAAAATGTAGTAATATAATGGATGACGAGGGAGGCTGCTTACCATTTTTTTAAACCAATGTTATTGAAGCAAAATTTATATTAAACAAAATGCACCCCTTTAACTATAAAGTTTGATGAGTTTTGACTTAGGAATATACCTGTGCAACCACCACCAGTCAGGATATAGGACGTTTCTCTTATCCAGAAAAATCCCCCTGGTGCCTCTTTGGGGTTAACCCATCCTCCTTTCTGCCCTGGCTCCAGACAACCACTGGTGTGCTTTGTGTCCTTATAGATTTGTTTTGAGGTTACTTATTTTTAAAGAAGATCACTTTTACTGCCTTTGGGGAATTAGTTGGAATGAACCTGGTTGGAGGGATACAAGAGGAACAAGACTAGAGATGATGAGAGAAACGTACCAATAAGATAACAGAAATAGAAATAATTAGCCTTTCTTGGACAGGACTCAGTCCCAAGCACTAAGTGTTTTAAGTGCTTAGTGTTTTAATTTTCATTCAATCTCCATAACAAGCACTATGAGGTTACCTCTATTGTATAGAGGAGGAAGCTTCAGAAAAGTTAGTGATTTGCACACGATTACACAGCTAGTGAGTGGTGGTTGGGATCCAAGCACCTGTGGTTCCCCACACACTGCAATGGCGCACGTTTACCCAGTGCTTACTATATGCCAGGCACTGTTCTAAACACTTTAACCTGTACAAGAACCTTCATGGGTTCCAGTTTTAATGAGAGGAAACTAGAGGCCCGAAGAGAATAATCACATACTCTATGAGCAACTGGCAGAGCAAGTCCTTCAAGTTCTAAAATCCTATTCTTTGAATGTGTCATTGCTTATTTCAACTCAGGGTACATCTCTGTACACAATTTGCAGCAGGGTTTTCTAGCCAGCAGCTCTGATTGAGGCTTGCTTCTTTTTCCATGAACCTTCTGAAACCTCTCCTAACCAGCCTGGCTTGGGCCTGTCTTCTGGCTCTTTCCCTGTGAAGGTGGAGGAGCCTCTGCCCTCCATGACCTCCTCTTCTATAGGACATGCCTGAGGCTCAGCAAGCTCTCTGATCTCCAATGAACCCCAACCCAAAAGTGAGGGGAGGTGGGAGGAGAGAACACAACCCAAAATATTATGGGGCTGGCTGGTCCCCGAACTATTGCCTGGCCAGATCATTTGAGACATTCTTGAACAACAAAAGTATAAACACTGCATCTGGATCAGAACAAATGGACACAGAGAATTGTAATGCCAAACTTGGAACAACAAACAAAATGTTGCTTTAGGAATTTCTGGCAGAGGAGCAGGAAGTATAAGGATTTTTTAAATTGTGTATGTGTGTGTTTTAATAGTCAGGGCTTCAAGTTTCAACTAGGACATGAAAATAAACTGCAAGTAAACAATTTCCAGGGCAGAATTGAGACTCCACTTAGAAGTCTTGTGTAATCCACTGTCTTGTGTAATTTCAAGAAGGCTTTGAAATAAGGAGGGGAATGCCAACTCTTCTAAATTTGCCAGGAAAGGAGAGGTCTGAATTTCTCCTCATGAAGAATGAGGAGTACCCTCCCCCCATTTGGCTCCACCACCTTCTGCTCCTGTACCAAGAGAGGCAGGCGATGGGTTAGCCACCTCCAAGACAACTGTGACTTAATTGTGATGTGTGACTTGGGCTTTGGGAACCTGCTGGCCAGACAGCATGACCTGTGAGGCTTGAGGGTGTGGGCTGCGTGTCAGGAGAAGAGGATCCAGCAGCTGAGAGGCCAGATGTCAGAGAGGCTGGAGGCAGTCGTCCTAGATGTCACTAAGAGAGCAACACTGAAGCCACCCAGTGGGTGAAGGAGTATGTGGGGACAGAGGAATGATATAATTTCTCTTCCTCTAGATGTCCTCTTATTCCAAGTACTAGTCCCATGAGAAGATGACACCAGCCTACTAAATAAGAGAGAGACACTAACAAGTTATAAAATTTGCTCTTAATTGTCTACCCTGACAGAAAAGAACAGTGATCTGGATCTAAGACAGCAGGTAATTCTACTTAGTCACACTCTATGGTATGTAACCATGAGCCTATAAACATGCTTCGTATAAGTACAAACTATTTAATAATAAGTTACCTTTGTACAGAACTTCATAATTTTACAAAATTCTTTTACATACCTCATGTCCTATTTAAAGGAATTTGCTTTTGCCCCAGATCACTTGAACATTTTTGAATGGGTCTTGCTCATCCACGTTCAAGGTCTTTGCTCATAACTCCTACACACTCTGGTGCAATGGAGTGTGGGAATTGGAATCCAGATACCTGTAAAAAAAATCTGGCTCCACTCTGTATGACCTTAGGTAACTAATTCCTCAGTGATTCAGTGTCTTTCCCAATAAAGTAGGAATAATAATGCCTCCTCCAAGGAGCTGTGGTAAAGCATCCATGAGGTAATGTATATGAAAAACTTTGAAAAGGAGAGATGGAGTCAGATAATGGAGACGGGGAGTCACAGGCCAAGCTAGAGAACTAGCAGTCTGTCTTCTGTGCAATGGGGAGCCATAGCAGTTTATGGGGAAAGGTGGTTCTTTTTCTGATCTTTCCTAAATGTCCTTTGTCCCTTCTGAATCCACCTAATTTCTTGGACTTTGGACCTCTGTCTCCCTGAATTATCTGGCAGAGTCTTACTGAACTAGAAAAAGAAGGAAGCCATTGACAAGT